ATACACCAATAAGATGGAAAACAGAGATAAAATAGATTTCTAGATACATATGAATTACCAAAGTTGAACGAAGAAGACCTAAAAATTCTAAACAACCCAATATTAAACAATGAAATTGAAAATGTAATTAAAAACTTACCAACTAAGAAAATCCTGGGTCCTGATGCCTTCACTGCTGAATTCTACAAGACATTTAGAGAAGAACTTGCCACCACTGTCTAAACTCTTCAATAAAATTGAAAGGGAAGCAATACTCCCAAATTCATTCTTGGAAGCAAGCATCACCTTGATCCCAAAAGCAGAGAAAGACCCAACCAAAAAAGAGAATTATCAGGCAATCTCACTAATAAACATAGAGACAACAATCCTCAATAATATACTGGCAAATAAAATTCAAATCTTCAAGATCATACACCCTGACCAAGTGGGATTCATCCCAGAGATGCAGGGATGGTTCAACATACACAAATCAATGAATTTACTACACTACATAAATAGATTCAAGGACAAAATCATATGATCATCTCAGTACATGCAGAGAAAGCATTGAAGAAAATTCAACACCCATTCATGATAAAAAAAAAAAACCCTACAGAAAATTGTAATAGACAGTCTCCATCTCAACCTGATAAACCCATTGATGAAAAAGCAGCAGCCAACATCATATTAAATGGTCAAAAACTGAAATCCTTCACACTAAAATCAGGAACAAGACAAGGGTGTCCACTATCACCACTCCCATTTAATATAGTTTTGGAAACATTTGCCATGGCAATTGGACAAGAGAAATAAATAAAAGGAATAAAGATAGGAAATGAAGAAGTCAAATTGTCATTATTTGCAGATGACATGATATTCTATATAGAAGACCCCAAGAACACCAAAATTCTTCTGGACTTAATAGCCCAGTTCAGTAGAGTAGCTGGATACAAGGTCAACATACAAAAAATCAATAGCCTTCCTATACACCAACAACAGTCTCACTGAGGGAGGAACTGGAGAAACAACTCCTTTCACCATAGCATCCAAAAAAATGAAATACCTAGGAATCAACCAAATGAAAGAAATCAAAGTCCTCCACTCTGTAAACTACAGCACTGTGAAAAGAGATATTAAAGATGATATCAGAAAATGGAAAGTCATCCCTTGCTCCTTGGTAGGAAGAACCGATATAGTGAAAATGGCCATACTTACAAAACTGCAATATAGATTCCATGCAATCCCAATTGCAATTCGAACAGCACAGCTCACAGACCTTGAGAAAGCAATCCAAACATTCACTTGGAACTAGAAGAGACAGAAACTAGCAAACACAATTCTAGGCAACAAAGACAAGGTAGGGGGTATCACAATCCCCAATCTGAAACTATACTACAAAGCTACTGTGATAAAGCAGGATAGTACTGGAAAAGAAACAGACCTGAGGATTAGTGGAATAGTTTAGAAGATGCAGAAACAACTCCAGACACACTCAGCCACCTCATCTTTGACAAAGGAGCCAAACACCCTCAGTGGAGGAAAGATAGCCTATTTAATAAATGGTGCTGGAAAAATTGGGTCTCAACTTGCCATAGATTAAAACTAGACCTATGTCTCTCACCATGCACTAAACTAAAATCAAAGTGAATTAAAGATCTACATTTTAAAACAGAAACAGTAAACCGGATGGAAGAGAGGTTAGTTAGAGCTCTTGGGGACATTCTCGTAGGAAAAGATCTCATAAACAAAACCAGGAAATGGTGAAAAAATAAGAACCAAGATATATCATGTAAAGGTACAAGTACCCAGTGACAAATGTAAATGTATTGTATAACTAAAATGTACCAATAAAAGAATCTAAGGAAAAAAATTACCTCAATTGCATGTGAACTAGCACAAATCATCACAAGTGAAATCTCATCTTATTAAAAAGCTTCTGCACAGCAAGAGAAACCACCAGCTTTGAAGAGCCAACCCACAATGTGGGAAAAAAATTTTACCAGCTGTTCTTCAGACAAAGGTCTACTATCTAGAATATAGAAAAAAAGTTTAAAAACTTAGACCCTGCTAATTTAAAGATCTGATCCAAAAATGGGTATCTGAAATGAACAGACATTTCTCAGACAAAGAAATAGAAACAGCAAATAAACATATGAGAAAATGTTCATCATCACTGCTCATTCAAGAGATGCAAATGAAAGCAACACTGAGATTCCACCTCACTCCAGAAAGAGTGGCTGCTCTCAAGAAATCAACCAATAGAAAATGCTGGCAGGTCTGTGGGGAAAAAGGAACCCTTCTCCATTGTTGTTGGGAGTGTAGACTGGTGCAACCACTATGGAAATCAGTATGGAGATACCTCAAAAACTAGGACGAGAGGTCCCATTTGACCTAGCTATTCCCCTGCTGGGTATCTTCCCTAAAGAATTAAAAGAGCCATACCACAGCAATATATGTGTACTCATGGTAATAGTGCCACAGTTTGTGATAGCTAAAATGGGAAAACAGCCCAATCAATTGCTCATCAACTGGAGACTGGATAAAGAAAAATGTTTTTTTTAAAAAAAATGAAATACTACTCAGCCATAAGACTGAGAAATTAAAGACATTTATAGCTAAACAGATGCACCTTGAGGTGATACTCTTAAGTGAAATAAATAGGACAGACATGTAAGTAATGAATAGTTTGTCTGCTGTCAAAAACTGAAAGTGTAAATAAGGATGAAAATGTATAATATAGATAATGTGAAATTGGAAGAAAAGGTCCAAAGGGAAAGGAGAAGTGGGAGAGTTAAGGGAAAGGAAAGAAAGGAAAAGAATAAATATGAGAAAAGAAAAAACTGAAAACAAAGTCTTTGTAAATAGGGAGGGGTGGGGAGGTTGAAGGGAGGGCAGGGGAATGGAGAAATAAAAATAAGAACCAAGATATATTTGTAAAAGTGGAAGTTCCCAATAATGAATGCCATCATATTGTATACCTAAAATGTACCAATAAAATTAATGAATAAAAAAAATCTCAACAAGAAAAATAAAGAAGATATAGAAATGGCCAATAAACACATGAAAAGATGCTCAAAATCATTAATAGTTAGGGGAATACAACTTAAATCCACAGATGAAATAGCGTTTTACATCTATTATAGTGAGCACAATCAACAACAAAACAAAATAAACCCAGAAAAATACCAAGTGTTATTGAAAATGTGGAAAAAGTGGAACCTTTGTGTATTACTTGTGAGAATGTAAAATGGTGCTGCCACTATGGAAAATGGTTCCTTTTAAAATTAAAAATATAAGTAGCATAGGATCTAGCAATTTTGCTTTGGGGTATAGGTTCAAAAAATCTAAAGCACAGACATGAGCAGATATTTATATACCCATGTTCATTGCTCTGCTATTCACAATAGCCAAAAGATGGAAGCAACCCAAGTGTCCATCAACATATAAATGAGCAAAAATGTGTTAAATACGTATAATGGAGTATTATTCTTCCATAACAAGGAGGGAACATCTGACATATGCTGCAACAATGAATAAACCTTGAAGATAGTATGCTAGGTAAAGTTAGCAGACTCATACGGACATGCATTGGATGATTCCACTTATTCAGAGTAATCAAATTTATAGAGATAGAAAGTAGAATGATGGTTTCAAGGAACTAGTGGGAGCAGAGAATGAGGAGTTGTTGTGTAGTTGATATAGAGTTTCATTTGGGAAGATGAAAAAATTCTGAAGAGGATGGTGGTGGTGGTTGTTCAACAGCATGAATATATTTAATGTCACCAAATCATAAACTTAATATGCTTAAAATGGGAGTGTATATATTTCCATAGTAAATTCAGGAACTGTTAGAAATTCAAGTTACAATTTGAATGTATGGGGAAAATAATAATTTAATAAAAAACAAAGACTGAAGCCTGTTTTGTGGTATGACTCAATCAATATGGAAACCTAATAGATACATATGCTAAGAAAATTAAATTGAAAGGCAAATAATAATAATAAGAGCAATCAATTTTATTTAAAAATATTGTGAGGAAAAATCGCAACCACCTGTGGAGGAGCTTGTATTACTATCCCCATTTTACAGAGGAGGAAAGTAAAGTGCTCTGTTGGTATAGGAAATCTACAGTGTTGCCTCTAAAAGACAATCTGCATCTTTGAGGAGATAACAGTTATTCAAGGAAGAGAAACCTATAGGCATGGGTAAAACTTTACAATTCCACATGTGTTATAAGGCAAGTATATAAGATGCTATGATACAACAGATGTAAAAGCAATTAATTGCCTTTCAAGTTCCCAGAGAGGAGAAGATACTTGAACTTTGAAACTGATTGCCTGAGACTCTGTGTTGTAGGACCTCAGAAGAGATGGGATCAATAATGACTCATTGAAGGCAACAAAAGGGTCATCAATGTAGGACTTAAGCTGGACCCTGAAAAGTGGCCAGAGTTTGGATAGGTAAAAGAGAAATGTATTCTGGGAAAGAGTAACCATACAGATAAAGGCATTAAGATCCTACCTTGGAGATTTGTCTATGAGCTGGCATGAACTGGAAGAGTCCCAGAATAGTAAGTGGTATGTCAGGGAAGACGATTTTCGGATAATATGATGAAGTAAAAGATCACAGCTACAGAATAATGGAGTTTAGCCATGAGGTAGTATACCAGGACTCCAGAATACGTCTAGTCACCTCAAGGACACGGGGTAGACATGATCTGAGGAAAAGTCAGTGAAGGCCTTTTTTGGGGTTGGAAGGAAAGCTGCTAGCTCTGTCTTGGCAATATGGCCCAATTGACTGCATTCAAAAGCATTGATTTAATCCTCCTGAGAGTAACAGACTGATGCCAGTATGAAGGATTGAGTCATAGTACATCACACTGCCCAGCTCTCCTTGCCTGTGGTATCAGCAAACTTGTGTCAAAGACATGGCTTAGTTGGGCAATAACTTCTCATACAGCTTTCAGATATTTCACCTACTCTTCCTCTCCTGTTGATTGTCTCCTGTTATATTCCCTCAGGAATTGGAAGCCAGTGAAGAAGCCTCAGGGAGTTGCAGAGGAGGTAAGCCTTAATGGGAAGATTCTTTTGTCACACCTTCTCTTTTAAAACCCCTTTGTCATTTCTCCACATATATCAAAAATTACAGCAGAATTCCCACCTTCAAAGATGTTGAGAATAAAGCTTCATCTCCCAGATTCTTTCCAGTGTTTACTGGGCAAAATACTTATATAGAAAATTTGTAGGATTGATGTATGAGTATTACTGTGTGAGAGGGAAGGGCAGGAGTGAAAAGGTCCAGGAAGCTTAAGAGAAAGGCTGCATAGTTAGAACCAACAATTGTTAAAGATCAGATTTCCATGCTCCCTACCAAAATTTTCACAGGACTCAGTTCAAGAGAAAAATTAATTGTGGAGTTCATTTAAGATTCCAAGATTAAACTTCTCTAGTTATGCTATTAAGTAGATGAATGTGTAGATGGGTGAGGGCATGTTGGATATTTGAATCATGGATAAAAGGCTGGATAGATGCTGAATGATGCAAAATTGAAGGAATGCTGGATAGATGGTTGGCTGGATGAATATCTCAACTGAGGAAACAAAAACCAAGTTGCTTTGTGTGTTTCCTGATTATTTTTGACATTCAAGTAGATCTGCCTCAAACATGATGAAGCATTTTCTGTGCATTTCCCATTCCTTTCAAAAGGCTTCAAATGTGCCCAGCAATTGTACAAATGCTTCATCTTAGCTTAGTTTCAGTATATTTGAGTGACATTAATTATCATTGAAAGCTGAAGCTACATTTTAAGTCAGTCTGTAGTCAGCTGTACTCTCCATTGTCTTAGAAATTTGACCACTGGTAAACAACCAACTTCATAGAAGCCAATCTTCACCTTATTTCCACCGAATTGCAGAGAGAACTAGCCATGTGGTCAAAGCTAGTTGTTTGAAATGACTCATTAGTGGAGAAAACAACATTTCACCCATTAGCATATCCATGCAACACTTACAAATAGACTGCCTCTGGTGTGCCATTTGTCTCCCACACAGCTCCTATGTTTGGGGACCTCACAGTCTACTGTGAAAAATAGATATGTGGAACAGGCAACTAGAACACAATGAATACTCAATTGGCAATAGGTAGAGAGGGCCAGGGACATGAAGCAAGGGGCTATGAACTACTTGAGAGGGTCAGACAAGGCTTTGTTATAGGAAGAAGGTCCCTGGAGGACAAACCAAGAAGATCAGGTTCCCTCCAGTAAAGAGGGCAACCAACGAAAAAAAGAGGAGCAAAATAAATTTTAATTCTTTCTAGTTGATGCCGGCCCATCATCATCCTTAGTTATTGTGGTAACTATGTATTTATGGCTGAAACAGTTCTGATTTCCAAACAGTTGTTGGAACCAACTTTTCTTTTGTTGTTATTTGTCTGACTGTGAACTTACTATTGTTTCTTTTTACCTCCAGTAAAATCTATGTCTCCATCTTTCTCAGCATACTTTTCAATAGTGGTTAGAACATTCTCTTATTTAGAGGTTACTATTATAACCTCATTTCAACTTTAGCTCTCTTTTTCTGTCTCAAGTGCCAGTGCATTTATATGTTTAAAATCTGTGGATTGTATTCAGGGGGATCTGCAAACTTGGATGCAAAAAAGTCCACTTATATTTTTACTAATCTCTAATTGAAACTTAACTTTTTCTTCAATTATGAATGCATGCAACAAATGACAGTAGTATTAGCAGTAATTATGATTTTATCATTAATAGAAATCATGAATATTTTCTATAACATTACAGTTATTGCCAATATCTGGAAATACCATTTGTATGTATCATTACTTCAAATTTGCAGTAGTTAATAAGATCTGCTGCTAAAACTTTTGCTTAACATATTTATAAATACATACATGGCTGCATCACAGATTTTATTAGTACATATTTGTAGCACATGATGCTTACACTCCTTGTTGGGAGTTGGTATGTGTACATAACATATCTTAATTCCTTTTTTCATCCTCTTTCCCTCTACTCCCTCCCCACTCCATCTCTTGGTCCCCTTCCTTTTGTTTTTCTTGTACCTGTTTGCAGTACAAAATGTTTATATTCCTTGTGTGGCGTTAGTACATGTAAATAACACATCTTAATTCCTTTTCTAATCCCCTATCTCGCTCCTCCCTCTATCTCTTGATCCCCTTACCCTTTGAGAAAGATCTATCTCCCCATGCCCTGTTACCTATCTTTTATTTTTCCTTGTATTTATACTTTGGATTTTTCATATAAGAGAAATCATCTGATATTTAAGCCTGTGTGTCTGATTGATTTCATTTATGGCAGAGTAGTATTCCATTTTGTGTAAATACCACATTTTCTTTATCCATTCATCTGTTGATGGGCATATAGGTGACTTCCAAGATTCAGCTATTATGAATTGTGCTGCTATAAACATGATTATGTATGCATCACTATACTATGATATCTTTAACTCAGGAAGATATCTAGAAGGGAAGAGCTGAGTCAAATGGAATTTCTAGTTTCAGTTTTTTAAGGAATTTCCACTTATTTCCATAGTGGCTACACTAGTTTACATTTCCACCAACAATGCAGAAAGGTTCCTTTTTCCCTGTTGCCTCTCTGGAATTTGTTACTATTTGATTTCTTGATGATGGCCATTGTTTCCTGGGGTAAGATGGAATCTCTAATGTTCAGTGATGTTGAGCATTTCTTCATGTATTTATTGGTCGTTTGTACTTCTTCTGTGAAATATCTAATTCATTTCATTTGCCCATTTTTTGATTGTGCCTTTTATTTTGGGGAGGGGTCTAATATTTTTAGTTCTTTATATATTCAGATGAGTCCTCTATCTGAGAAATGGCTGGCAAAATTTTTTTCCCCATTCTGAACATTGTCTTTTTCATCTTCTTGGTTGTTTTCTTTTGATGTGCAGAAGCTTTTTAGTTTGAAAGGATCACATTTGTTGATTCTCAGAACTATTTCCTGAACAACCAGGTTTCTGTTCAGAAAATCCTTGCCTACACCTGTGACTTCAAGAGTTTTGCTATTTTTTTCTTCCAGCAGGTTAAGTGTTACTGTTTGAACATCTAGTTCTTTGATCCATTTTGATTTTAGTTTAGTACATGGTGAGAAATATAGGTCTAGACTCAATCTTCTGCATGTGGATAGCCAGTTTTCCTAACACCATTTATTAAAGTCTTTTCCTCCATATCATATATCTTTTAATAATACAATAATTTCGGTGTTTATTTCTTTTATTTATTTATTTATTTTTGGTACCAGGGATCGAACTCAGGGCCTTGTGCTTGCAAGGCAGGTGGCAGAACCGCTGAGCTAAATCCCTGGCCCAGGGTTTATTTCTTTAGTAATCATATATGTTGAACACTATACACTAGTTAACATTGTTCTGAGAGGGACCCATTCACTTCCTCAGACTTCAAAGCATTCATTCTAGAAACTTTCTTTTTGGCCACCATATTGGCACTTTTCATTCAGAAACTTTCCCAAGCTTGTAAACATTTAGATCATTGCTCTTGAAGACCTTCAAATCTAGGTTGTATTTGTGTAACTACAGGCGAAATAAAGGACTAATATGTTAGCAACTCTGGTTTTCAGCCAAGCCCAATTCTTTAGCTTGCCAGACTTCTGGGTGCAAGATAATCTATTTATTGTCCTACTTATAGCTACTGCTCCTGTTATTTGTAAACAGTCAGAAACTGAGACTTGGATAGCTCACAGTACTGAGTTTAACCATTCTTCATTCCTGGATGCCCTTGTGAACAATGTACTTGTGTATATCAAGTGAAGATAATGAAAAAAAAAGGGAAGACTGCCCAGTGCTGAGCACAGAATAGGCAGACACTGACATAGACACTTGTTAGAAAAGAAAGAGGCATGGAGGACATGTAAATTTCACCTGACAGGGGCAATTTCCTTCCATTTTCCTTTCTCCTGATTACTGAAGTGAAAGGACAAGGGGTGAATTGGCTCAATTGTCAAGGAAATGAAGTAGTTTGGTTCAGCTCCCTAATTCACTCCCTAAAGAGGTGAGTTCTTAAAGAGCCAGATCTTCCTCTTTGTCCTCTTCTTAAAGCACTCTTCATGGGCTCATTGTTAGATTCTGCCTTCCATGCTCACGCACTTGTCTTTTTTCTCCTAGTTACTTACCCACAGGAAGGTACACTTGTCTGTGCACACATACATGTCAGTGAATGCCTCACTCACACTGAGAACTTGAGACACGCTATACATACATATGAACTTCCACTGTGACTTGATTTATTATCCCCCGATTTAGATGTGGTGGTCCTGAAACATTCCAACTCTACATAGTGAGAGCTCGGTAGAGTTCACACATTCACATACAGGAGTGATACACATGCATTCTTCATGACCACTGTTCCCTTTGCATATTATTGTCCATTGTGTTTGCAGTGAGTGAAACCCTCGTATCTATAACTTGTGAGAGATGATACTTATCACAACATACATACTGTATCTGTGAGGAGCACACATTCCCAAATGTATAATGCCTCTTCTCTTCCTCTCCCCACCCTTACAGACCCCCAACTCATACAGCCATTCACTCAAGACACGGAAACACGGGGTGGGATGGGGGATGTTGGGTGACCTTTGCCTCACAGGCCCTATGCAGATCTGCAGAGTCGCAATTTGAGTGTGCTCACATTGCTATTGCTGTTGAAGTGGTAAAAAGTAACTTGCAGATGGTAATGCATGCCTGTAATCCTAGCACTGTGGAGGTTGAGACCAGAGGATTGCAAGTTCGAGGTTAACCTAGGTAACTTTACACCTTAGCAAGGCCCTTTCCGAAAATAAAAAAATTTAAAAGGCTGGGAATGTAGCTCAGTTCAAAGGTCCTGGTTTTATTCCTCCAGTAACACACACACACACACATACACACACACACACACGTTCTGGCTTGCTTCTAATTTTCGTAGGGACACCCAAGCTGGCAGAGGAAATACTCAGGTGGACTTCCTCAATAAGACTTTCTCAACACATGGAAATCCAATTCCCTTTGCTAAGCTAC